TGTTTGTTGATAACAATAGTAGTGATTCCTGCTGTTGTTGTTGTTGTTGTTGCTGTTGTTGGTGGTGGTGGTGGTGGCAGTGGTGATAGTAGTAGTAGTAGTAGTAGTAGTAGTAGTAGTAGTAGTAATAGTAGTAGTAGTAGTAGTGTTGTATACTTCTTATCAAAGTTGATATGGCTTCTGGTATCCATGGAAGTCTTTTTATATGGTTGATATCGGGCGGATATTGTCCCGCCTTCCTGGATAACCAGCCTTTTCAATGATATACATTGATTTTACCGACCTAATTTCGCCTATTTTTTTCTTGTTTTTTTTTCTTTAATTTTCATCAATTATTTTTAAATTTTTCATTTGTCATTCTGTTTATTTCATTCCATCTTCTCTTATCATTTCATACAACAATCAAAAATGGTTTGAGTGAAAGAAAACGATGAAAAAGATGGAAAAAACACAGACCTATTGTTTCATTGTGGTATTCGAAATTTGTCAATTTCATCGTATCAGTTCCACCCATTTCGCATTGTTTTTTCCTTTTTCTCTTTTTTTGTTAATTTTACAAAAATTTCACTAAATCAAATATCCATCATTATCATTATACCACTTTCTTTTTCTTTTCATTTTTTGATATTTCTATTTTTTGATAAACTGAAAATCAAAAAAGGAAATTTATCAATTTCCTTTTTCTATTTTTGCCTATATCTGTTTTATGTGTAACAATAATTTTACTTGTGTATGTATATGTTGTGCATATACATATGTATGCAAATTCTTGTTGTTTGTCTTTTCATCCATCCTTTCACTTTTCATATTTCGATTATCATTGTTATCATCAATGATTATCATTATTTTAATCAATACTATTATCATCAGCATTTTCATTTCATTTTCATTATCATCTCGAAGTTTTCAATTCACTTTTTTTTATTGTTAGCTATTAATCGTTTTGTGTCGTTTCATTTATTTGCTGAATATAATGGAGTAATTTTCGAATCTCTTAATATTCCACATTTGTAGCAATTAGTTCGTTCTTATTGTCACTCTTGTTGTTAATATTCTTACCATTACTATCTGAACATTTCGGTGGTCATTTGCATGGTGAAACATTTTACTATTATTTTAAATTCGTATTGCATCGATGTCTATAATTGTTTTAAATTTACACTGAATTTAATTATGAGTTGTTCATGCTTGATGC